TGACCTTATCTAATGGTGGGAAGGGTAGCAGCTGAAAGGCTGGGCTAAGCACAGTTAGTCTGAAGCCCAGGATGACACCTTGGGTTCATTCACTTGTTTCTTCAAGGTGAGGTATTTGGAAGTTCTCCTAATGAGACCTCTGGCAGCCAGTGCTGTAAATCACAATCAGAGCAATTGGGCTGAGCAGCTTAGTTTATTGTCCTTGGCACTGGAGGGGCCCTTGTGGGGAATTCAGGTGCTTCTGTGGTGTTTTGTGAGACTTTAAGGCAAACCTGGAAAACTGCAGCAGGAGGGGAGCTAGATAAGTTTCCTTGATGTCTTAGAGACCTTAGTGAGATGGTGCCCTCCTAGTCAGCAGCCGGGCCCAGGCACAATCTCTGACCAACCTGGGCAGATGCTTTCTAAGTGAAAAGCAGCCAGACTATTGTGACAGTAATGAAATTTTCATCATCTTTTTTTCTTGATTGCAGTGCATGTTTTATTGACTTTTTTTTTGAGCTCTTTCCAGTATTCTGATGCATCAAATAATTCTGGTTTTGTTTTTTAAACATTAGCGGGTTTCTTTCATACCCAGGGTGACATGCATTCTTTTCCTTGGCCTTTACCATTAAAGAGCTAACCTATGCACAAACTTTATCAGTCTCTGGATTTGTAGAGCTTTGGAGTATACTGCTCTTGAGATTGTTCTGACACAGGCCCAGGCATGGTTCCCTAACCTTTCCCTGATGTCTGTCTCTCTTTTCTCTAGCGAGGCCCCTATTCGAGACGTTATTCTGCACCAAACATCTGGACGGATTCACAACAAGAATGTTTCCACTCATCTAATTGGTAGCATTGCCAGAGGTGAGAGATTAGGAGCTTGGGATCTCTGGTGCAACGTTTGCCCCTGATAGTTTTTCAGTACGTCAGTCCAGCATGAAATCAGATTTCCTGTGGTTGAAAAATAACAGTGGGAAGCAAGAACAGAGAGAACGCTGCTTCTGTTAGCCAGCTCCCAAAGAAAGGCAGCTGGATAATTGCGGTTGAACTTTTTAGAGCCTTTGCCCTTCCCTAGGTAACTCTTGCTCTTCACTTAGCACAACAGTTTCTCTGCAGCCTCCACTGGCCTGCATTGGGTCATCCTGAATGGCTGCCATGCCTTGCTCTTAAGTGTCCTTGATCTTTGCTTTTGCGTGGCGCAGCTTATGCCCTCTCATTCCATCTCTTCCTTTCCACAGACTCATCTTTCTTCTTGCCTTTGTGCTTTTCAGCATTTGATTTCCAATAGCTGGCAGCTATATCCTGCTCTTCTTCACCTGTGCAGTCCCAACCCCTCCAGACCTGCCTCTGCAGTTTATTTATATTGCTGTCCTCTGTCTCCTTTCAATGTGTTCAGTTCAGCTGTTGTATCTAAACTCTCTCCACAGCTGCTGGCTCCTCTCAGCCCTGACACACTGCTGTTGCATCCAGACTTTTCTTACACACTGCTGCTGCTTGCCTCATCTAACTGCCTTTGTGCTCTGGCCTGTTCTTGGTACACGTGCTGAATCCTGTTTTGGTACCTATGGAGAATAAGCAGCTTTCACTCCCCCTTGGAGTGTGTGGGCATAATACAAGAAGGCAGAAAATTCCCAATGCAGATCACTTTTTCTTGTGTGCAACTGGCTGGGATCCAGTTGCATTTGCTCTGTCCAAGCATTACCCCCTGCAGTGCTGTCTGAGAATGACTTAGCCTGTCCAATGTAATTAGAGCTGGGGGAGAGGAGCAATCCACTGAAACCCCTCCTCTTCCGCAGAGTACCGTTCCTCCCCAGTCCATAAGGCTGTCGTATTTTCAGCATCTCAGATGCTGCCATGAGCAGCGTGGTCAACAGAGCATGAAATCAATTCTTTCGCTGCATACATAGCCTTGCATCTAATGAGAGGTGTCTGCAAAAAATGAAGGCACACAAAATAAGGGATGAAGAGAAGGTTGCAAAAAGCCCATTGATGCTGGACCATCAGTAATGAAGCAGCTGAAGAGTGCCATGCTGACCAGTTTGTAGGTGGACCACAGCAGATCTTTTGGACCAGAGCCTGTCTGGATGAATATCAGCTAGGGAGAGCTGGCTGTTTGCTTTAAGCTGATCTGCAGAACAGGGGAGTCTGTCCCAGTCACGTGCAGTGTTGTACCTTGGAGCTGTCCGTAGGCAGTGGAGGTAGGCTTGCAGTATTATGTCATTCTGGGGAAACTGCCTATTTGCTTTCAGCACTGCTGGCTTGTCCCTGGCTGCCGGGTTTCCTGGGTTCCTGCAGACCTGAGGGAGTCAGTGTCTCTTCTGCATTGTCACTGAAAGGATTAAATGCAGCTGTAACTGAACACAGCTCCACTCTTCCCCTGCCAAGTGTGATATCACTTTCAAAGCCTGGCCTTACATGTCCTGTCAGACTTGTAGTTAGGTAGAGTGTGTACTGAAGAGCTGAAGCAGCCCAGTGGTCAGAGGAGTCTCCTCTTCAGATTTAACTATTCACATTTGTCAGTGCTGTCCTGCACACAGCTGTGATATACAGGCTTTGGAGAGGACACTGCTTGCGGGAAGTTCACAGCTGTCTAAGCATAGCCCAGGGAAGCCAGGGCCGACTGTGTAAATGAGTATGATGACACATGTCTAATCTTCTCATAAAGCAAGGGTTTGCTAGCATCTGATCAGTGTTTGCTGAGAGAGGGTCACAGTTTCTTTGTAGTGTTGGTGTAGCAAAAACAATAGAGTTGGTAGCATGATCTCCACAGACAGTTGTAACAAGCCTTTCTTTGGCTTCAGCTGTTCTACATGTTGTCCCTTGTGATGGTCCTGCCTGTGCTTGTGCATTTCTGGAAGCTGGAGAGGATGTGATGCAGTCCACTAAAATTGGAACTGCCATGGGCCTGCGAGTGCAAATGTGATACAGACACAGGAGCAGCCAGAAGAGTCAGGCATGCCTGTGGCAGTGCAAACCAAAGGTCTTGGATTTTGAAATGCCAGTGCCCTACAAATAGAAGTCAGCACGATGTACTATTGGTTACAAGAGCCTGCAGATAACCACAAGGCAAAGTAGTCAAGGCTAGGTAAAAAAGGAGGCAGGATGGATCAGCTTGGTTTGGATCTTTTTTTTTTTTTCAGGAGAGGGAGGGAAAACACTCATAAAACAACATCAACTCTTGTAATTCTCTTCTGCATTTACAGGCTGCTCCAGTGAGAACAGTGGATCAGGTCTCTTTGCCCTCTGTACTCTGGATGGTAAGTCCTACCACTGTCCTAGAAGGCCTGTGGGGTGGCCAAGGCCTGTCACCAATTCAAAGCAGGGAACCAGGGGCTCAGTGCTTTTGGTTTTGAAAGAACAGGGAGCTGTGCTTCAGAAATGTTTCCTGGGTCAGGCAAGTGAATTTGATGCAAAGACTGTTTGCTGACTAAACATGAAGGCATGAAAGCTAAAACAGGAGCCAAGGTGAGAGTTGTCACTCTGAGCAAGTTAGGTGTGTGATAACATGCCTGTATCTGAGGATATGATGAAACGTGTTAAAGCTCAGCATGACTTTGTGTCCCTTACTGAATTGGGGGTCTGGCATTGCACAGGCTTAGTCTCTCCAGGAAACCTGTTGTGTTTTCTATCTGTTACGAATATCTGCCTTTCTTCCCTAGTACAATCTGTGGATATCAAAGCATTTTACAAAGATTAGTTACTTCTATGGTCCCATGGCCTGTGGGGATAGAAGGACTAAAGCTGTGCTGCAACAAGCAGACAAGAAAACAAGGAGGCTTAATCACTGTCCCAAAGGCACGCTGAAGGCTTGAGATAGAGAGTGAGACTAGAACTTTCATCTGCTGACTCCTAAGTTGCCTGCTATTGTGGTGGTCAAATAACTCTCTGAGATGCCAGTTCAGCAGTGCCATTCATATAGACAGGAGCTTTTAAACCACAGCAGAGATGTGTCCTTGTACTTGAAGGGACTTGTGTTGTCTCCAAAAGCAGTAAAAGAAGTGGATGCTGGAAATTAACTATTGGTAAAGAGGTGCTGGCCTCACACAGGCCTGGAGTCAGGTTCTTCTGCTGTACTCCTGACTGAGAAGTGACAGGATAGGCTGCCATAGGACTGAATCTAATGGGCTGAACACAGAGTTTCTGTCCAAAAACCAACAGTGTGGAGACAAGCCAAGAGGCCATGCCCATGCTATCAGCCAGCCAGCTCTCAGCTCTCACCTGTCAACATACTGTCATGAGCTCACATGATCTGTGGGGCATGGTGAGTTTACTCAAGTTCTAGTTTACTCACTGTCTCATGTGAGATCTGTTGGTGTGCTCTGCTTTGGGAGCCTGTTTTGGGCAGTTTTCCTCTTAGAGCACGATCCAATTAGCAGAGCTGCTGCCATTTTTGCTCTCTGTTTCCAGTTACTGATGAGAAGTTAATGGACCTCTGTCCTTCCCAGTACTGAGACTGTGTTACCTGTTATCAACCACAGCCTGTGCCATGGGCCTAACCCTCTGCCTGCAGACCCTAAGTGTTGAAAGGCCCAGTGTTAGCAAGCTGCTTACTCCCTTTTAATATTTTTAAGACAATTTTTTTTTCTTTTTTTTTTCTCCCCCTTCAGGGACGTTGAAACTCATGGAGGGAGCCGACAAACTGCTCTGGTCTGTGCAAGTTGATCACCAGCTCTTTGCTCTGGAAAAGCTGGATGTTACTGTGAGTGTCTCTGAATAGGGCTGGGAGGGACAGAGACAAAAACTCAACATTGCTTTGCGAATATGAGTTTAGAAAGGGCAGGGGGAGTATGACTCAGCTGAAAAAGGCTGGGATTGTCTTAGGATGACACACAGTGCTCTGACTCTGCTGCTGCATTCTGCACTTGCGTCAGTCTGTCCACCTGCAAGAGGTGGAGCTGGGTCTGTCTGTTTGATCTAGTGAGCCCGGCAGCTTGCTATGAATATTTTCATCCCCCAGGTGCTCTTTTATCATATTGCAAAGTTGAATGGTTTTGCACACCGCTAATACCCCAATTGTCTACAAGCTCTTATGATACATAAGGATTATGATAAAGACAGATGGTCTCCAAGTGCAAAAAGACTGGGCAAGATGTCCAAAAGTGACATCTTGTTAAGACATTGGTGTTCTGTCTCTGAACAACCAGGAGAGATTCTTGAATGCCTCTGGAAACAGTTGATGTCCATGCTAATATGAGATCTTATGGTTCCTGCAGGGCAATGGGCATGAGGAGGTGATTGCCTGTGCATGGGATGGTCAGACGTACATCATTGACCACAATCGGACTGTCGCCAGATTTCAAGCGGACGAGAATGTCAGCGCTTTCTGTGCAGGTGGGGAGCCTGACTGCAGAGCCAGCCCTCACAGCATTTCTCCCTCAAAGCTACTCCTCTGGAAGACCTCGAATCCTTTGTCCATATGCAGTGGGGAATAATTATATAATACATAATTATATATTATATACTGCATATAATAATATACCGCAGAAGGCCCAGCTGGTCGGTCTTCTGGTGGCATCTGGGAAAAGTAGGGGTGAGAGGTGATGATGCTGACGTTTGTCTGTGATGGTTTTGGGGTTTTTTTCTTTCCTTTTTGGGAGTGCTACAGAGGTCTATTGTTTTCCCCACTGCTTTTTTGATTTGCAGACTTCTGAGCTGTTATCAGGTGGAGATAAGGAGCCCCATGGAACCAGCCTGAGCCTTGGCTTTGCTCAGTCTCCTCTCAGGCCTGCAAGAAGCAGCTTGCGAATCCCCAAGCTCCATGCATTAGTAACAGTTGAGGGACACTGTCTTGGATTGTTTCAGAGGGAGTTCACATACCCAAGTCCATGTCTATGCCCCTCACCACAGATGCTCGCTTCTTTCTGCTAACAGCTTTGGTACCTAATCATGAGAAGTTACCTATTTGCTTTCTCTGTCCTTTTGGAAGTAGTCAGATCTCCACACTTTTGCTTTCTGCAGGCCTCTATGCGTGCAAAGGAGGACGCAACAGCCCCTGCCTGGTTTATGTCAGCTTCAATCAGAAGATCTACATCTACTGGGATGTGCAGCTGGAGAGAATGGAGTCCACGAATCTGCTGAAAATCCTGGATGGTGACCCAGAGTTTGCAAGTCTTCTGCAGCAGCTGGGTGTGGGTGAGTGTGGAAAGGGTGAAGGACGTACAGGAAAAAAGAGAGGAAGGGCTGCTGGCAGGTAACTGCTGGGAACTAGAGTTCTTCTAGTACTCTTCTAGTTCTTCAGGTACTTCTTGAGAAAAAGGGACTTTCATACTGCCTATTGAGAATCTCTAACAACTGTCTTTCTCTCCTCTCCATAGACAGAAGTGACGTTTCTGCTGTCAGAGATCTGATTCACAAAACACTCTATTTTCCTGAGAAGGAAGAGCAGAGCAGCCCCTCGCAGTCTCAGGACCCTGCTGGAACAGACTCCTCTGCCCACTGCACTGGCATCCAGGATTCTTTATAACAAGTCACAGGGAGGTTGACATCTTTAATACCAGCACGAACTCTTCTCTGACTGGTATTGGGCATCTGATGAAGATGAGACTGTTCTTTTCACATCTCTGTCAAAGCTTCCAGACAGCAAAGGGTGTCCAGGCCGGGTTATGTGGAGGGATGTGCTTGGCTATACACTTGTGTGAAGGTGGTGGATTGATTTGCTTTTAGCTGAGGGATTTACCAGAACAGCAAGAGTCCAGGGTCTTGCACTGCCAGGTTCCATGTTCTCCGACAGCTAAAGCGTTTTATGGGTGACGGTGAAGGAGCACTGAGGATATAGATGGAGTGAACAGCTGAGCTCAGTCTCTGTTTTGGCCTATTCTTACAAGTGCTCTAGTGATTACTTCTAAGCAGGATCACAGTGCAGGAACTGCAGATGGAGGAACTGAATTAGGAAGCAGGCAAGGGCCTTCACTCCCATTTAGGTGTGCTTTTAAAGTAAACCCAGGCGTTGCCTTTGCTGCTGCTCTTCTACCAAGCAGTTTCTCACAAACCACCTCCTATTCTGAGGAGCTGGAGGCATGCGTGAGAAGAACCACAAATTACCCTATAAGGTGTTGAGAGGTAACAGCTCCAGCAAACCCCAGCTGTACTCGGCAGGCATTGCTTGTCTCCATCTTCTTGAGCAGGGTGATCCCAGAGATGGCTGTGGCTTAGCAAAGCAGCTGTGAACTGGGCAATAAGAGGACTCCATCTTAACCATGGATCTGTGGTGCTGTGAGAGCTTGGCCATTCCTTAACAAGTAGTGGAAATGGCAAACTTCACTCTTGTTGTGGAGAGTGCCATGCTACTTTGAGTCCTGCACATCTGAAAGAGATGGAGATGACATTCCACTTGCTGGTATGGAAAGTCTGGAAAAGGCCATACCTTACCCAGGCTGTTCATGTGCAAAAGCCCAGGCAGGAATGTTTCCACATGCTGCTGGTGTTCTGCTTTTCCCTGTCTTATCTCGCCACTTGCCTGACTCAGCTTATTAGGACAGGAACAGCAGGCTCAGCTGCTGCTTTGCATCTACTGTCTTTCACTTGTGTGATGTTTTATTGGACGCTTATAATGGATGGAGCTGTGTCTTCACCCCTTGCCCGAGTCAAAGCAAATATAATTCAATGATCTCTCTTTACCAAATGGTAACTTAAAAGATCTTGCAGGCTGTTGAAAACCTGCTGTGCTATACCCTGCAAAACATCCAAGGGCAGCCCTAACTGGGAGAAGGTACTTTGTATAGAGGAAAGGGATGTCTTGCCTTTGAGTAGTACTACTTTGAGAAGTAGTCTCTCTCTTGATGCACTGCTGGGACCTCAAGAGGTTCCTGCAGCAATTGCCTGGAGCATTTTATTTGCATGAGAGTTGGGCCGGGCTGAGCTAATCTGGTAGCTGGGTCTTCCAGGGTATTGCAGCGCTGCGGTATTGTAATTCCTTCTTGAGGCCTAACAGGAAACCAGGTTTGTCTGCACTCATAACAGAGGACAACTCAGTGCTGTCTGTCCATGCCAAATATAAACCTTTATTAGCAACACAGAGCGCAGAGGAGATACAAATGGTTGTATGACTGAAACTGTATTATGGAAAACAAACTTTGCTCTACAGGTCAAATTATTTCAAACGAAGGAAGGTCAAGTTGATACACTGTTGGACTGTTAATTGTAGAGAAGAAACAGGAAGGAGTTAATGGGGGAGAGATGACATTTTCCTAAGAATCATCTTTAAAAGAAAATGAAGTAAAAACAGTGCACAGAGTGTCTAGTGGACAGAGCAACTTGTGCAGCCCAGCCCTCTTCTCTTGTTGGCTTGAGGATAACTGCTGTGTGCTGTGCAAGCCCAAACATGCTGCACTGTGGAAAGCAGAGGTGAGAAGTTACAGATACTACAGATCATCCATTCTCCAAAACTCGTCAACTCTTAAAACCACTTGAGAGGAAAAATACCAATGCTTGAGGGTTTCCCCTGACAGTTCTGTTACGTGCTGTAAGCAATATAAATTGCAGATGTATTTTGCTCCTGTGCCCCTTGTTGCACAAAGGACAATGAAAACTGTCTACAGAAGAATTAATTGGAACTTCTGTAGTGTCTTGGCCAAAATACTACTTTCCTTCTTTTTTCCTGAACTCCAAAGTGACAATCAATAGACTGGCTACAGTCAGTACTTCCTGCAGTCAAGTGCTTCAGGCAACAATTTTCTGTGTGGTGTACATCTACTTGACTCTGTGTCTGGACTGATGGAGTTACATTACACTTTCATTGTAACTCGTTGCCTGTTTGTCCTTGCCAGCCAACACAAGTTGCAGAGTTAGAAGTTGTTCCTTCCCGAGCAGCAGGAAATGTTGTTTGGTGCATCCTACTCACTAGCAGATTGGCATACCCACTGGTGCCAGGACGCTTTTCAACAGCACAGATTTGCAAGACACATTTGTATGTCCCACTGCCAGCACACAGCAACTGAGGAGTCCAACAGCATTTTCAGATACTGGGGATGTTTGCAGATAAATGATTTATGGCTTGGTTGTGATGCTTAATTTACTAGCAAGATAATAAAGGGAAGGGGTTGCTTTATTTTCCTGAGACATAATAAACCCACTGGCTATCCCTGCTCTCATTTCTATGATCTCTTTGCTGAATGTGGTTATTTCTATAACTCTTCAGGTATATCCTGGCACTTGGAAGGAGGACTGACTGCGAATGTATGTAGGTGGCTCAGTGGTCTTCAGTGCCATAACTCACCAGTGAAAGAAGGATCGGTCCTCTGGGAATATGGTTGGCTGGAGCTCCCATTCCGTTCAAAACCAAGTGACCCCAAGCTCCTAGTCCTGATTATGGCTTCGGCAGAGTGCATGTTCTTGGGATAGGTTTACCTCTTGCACGTAGGCCTTGGAAGGGGCCTCAGAAGTCCATCTGCCCATCACTGTGCAGGTTCAGCCACACGTGTAACACTTGCTTCTCTGTTCCAGAAACTTCCTGTGATGGACACTTCCCTGTAGACTCTTTCACAATTGTGTCTACACAACAGTCCTACTGGAAGGTAGCCCTGGTAGGAGCTGGCCACCAAGGCGGTTCATAGAGACTATCCCTAAAATAATATCATTCCATTGTCTGTATCAAAGGGATGGGCATCATGATGAGGAAGCCGGTATTGGACACATACAGGATGTGCCCATGTCCTGCTCTGAGGTGGCAGTTTGTACTATATTTCTACTTTCCATATGAAAATAATTAACATTTTTTGATCTCCAGTGGAAAAGACCTTTAAATGGCTCCTTCCTTCCCCTAGTCTCCCAAAAAGCAGTAGAGATGACTGGAACTGGGGGTAGGGAAGTATGTCTGTATAACAGGCTTTTCCAAAAAAAACTACAATTGAAACAGTCTTCAGCCTTGCTACCCACTTAAAAATTACTTACCAGGCACCCTAACTTAGAAAGACTTTAAAAAATCACCATGTTTGTAGATGGGGTTGAGTTTGCTTCTTTGAGATGTTGTAAGTCCTGTTTTATAATCGCGTCTTTTAAAGGCAAGGTTTGTGTCTTTCACAATGGAAGCTGGGATTCCCAGGTAATGACACAAAAATGGTGGTCTTTGGAGAAAACATCAGTTTGGGCAAGAATTCAGAATACATGTGTTAAGGTCAGTAACAGTATGGTTTTTAATGCCAATGAACTTTGGGAGATGGAAACCCACCAGGGGGTCTGTTTGATGATGAGGGCACCAGGTACTGACACTGTAGGATTAGACTGTGATTTAGGGTACGAGATGAAATGAGGTGTCAGCTGTGGTGCTGTGACCTGCAGTTCTCATTTAGTCATATAAATGTGGTGGGGTTTTTTCTGTAAGCTCTGCCTGCAACAGAGCTTGATGGGGAGGTTCCAGGGTAACTGCTGGCAACAGATCCCTCAATATCTGGGTGGAAGAGACCTTTACTGCGTGGACCTGCACATTCAGCTGACATGGACAGGAGGAAGGTGAAAAGCACATCTTCTGCTCTAGAGCCGATTTCACAGCTGTAGAAAAGAGCTCTCGCACTAATATAGCACTTGCTTTGAAATGTCCTCTCCGTGTCTGACAAGGGGCACAGTCTGCATTTATGCATGCAGTTATTAACAACAAAGAGGAAAGGCTGGCGAGAGAGTGGCACAATGTGAGGATTAGCAACCAGGGTACAGGAAAGTGTTAAAAGGAGTATCTAAAAAGGAAAGAATTCCTTTTGAAGAAGCAGAATTGTCACTTCCCAGTGTGGAAGAATGAATGATTCGCTTGAGGATGCAAATAAGGATTCAGAATGTGGAGAAGCAAGGGACAGATAGGGCTGGTGATATTTACCTACTGTAGCACATCATTGTGCAGAAGAACCTGAACTATTTGTGAAATGTGGCATGTGAATCACAGAAAGACTTCTGAAGGTCTGGAGGATGTTCTGAACGTGAGCAAAAGCAGATTTATCCCAGGACTGATGTGTAGGAACAGCATCTGGTGAATTCCAACAGCAGCCAGTGGGCAAGTACCTGCAGGGCTGTAAGTGTCAGGCACTAATCAAAGTGGAACTGTCAACTCAAAGTCATGCCAGCTTTCTGTAGGATCCCATGCTTTAAATAATTGGAAAAATTCCTGCTGGCTTCAGTCTGAGTTCAGGAAGATTCCTGCTCACCTACACCCTCACCCCAGCCAGATCCCAGCTCCAAAACGGACACCCACCAGGCGTGGCTCTAACACAGAGGTGGCCAGGACTGAAAGCTGTTGGTGGCTGTCCCCATCCCTTGGCAGTCCCTTCACAGCCCCTCCAACACTGGGGGTCTCCACTTGCTCTAGGTTTAGGATTACTGTTAGGGGGTTAGGGTTAGGGTCAGTGTTAGGGTTTAGGGTTGGTGCTTAGGATTATGGTTTAGGCTTAGTGGTAGGGTTAGATGTTTGTTTTAGCATTAGGGTTAGGGGGTTAGGGTTAGGTTTACCATTAGGATTTAGGGTTAGGAGTTACAGTTATCGTTCGATTTAGGATTTGGGATTGGGGTTAAAATTACGAGGTTAGAGTTTGAGAGTTAGATGTAGATGGTTAGGTTTATGGTTAACATTTAGGATTAGGGGCTAGGGGTTGGGACTAGGGGTTAGGGTCATGGTTAGTGTTTAGGGTTGATGTTAAGGTTTAGGGTTAGGGTCAGGTTTAGGGATACAGTTTGGTTAGACTTTAGGGTTGGGGATTAGAATTAGGTTTTTGGTTTAGGGTTCATAGTGCTATGTTTAGGACTATGTTTACATTTTGTGGTTAGGGTTAAGTGGTTAGAGTTAGAGGATTAGGGATTTAGATTTGGGGAGTTATGTTTAGGATTACAGTTTATGGTTAGAGACCTAATGTTTACGATTAGGGTTTAAGTTTAGGGGCTAGGGTTAGTTTCAGGGGTGAAATTTAGGGTTAGGTCTAAAGTTAGCTTTAATGTTCAGGTTTTGTCTTTAGAAAAAAATCATAAAAGTTAATAATAAGAGATGTAATGGACATGGTATCTGTCATCTTTAGCAGATTATTTGACATTGTTCCACATGCTGTTTTTAGAGGGCATCAAGAGTTAGAATCTAGACAAGTTGCTGCACATGAGAACAGGTGTTTCATCTATTGCAAACGTGATTTTTTCGGTACAGTTGACCCAGGTACCACCTTGATCCCAGCTGACACACAGGATGGTTTGGTACATGTCTGAACTGTCATTAAAGATGCCTGGGTTTGAGAAGCCAGTCAGACGTGCAAGTGGTACATATCCAGGAGGAACCACTAGTATTTTGGAACAGAGGGTCATTGAGTAGACATGGGTCCTGACACAAATGAGAGAACTGTGGGTGTCATTCAGGAAATTCATGGAAAGCAGTTCATGCAGCCCAGAATAATCAAATGCACAAGTAAAAGAATAGCAAAGAAGCCTAGGAACAGATCAGAAGCTGCAAGATACAATCACTAGCAATAAAAGTCACTACCCTGATGCTGCTTGTAGGAGGAGCAGATGCCGGTCACACCAACTAACATGGGTAAGTACGCTCCAAATCATATCAGCCAGGCTGTACTCTGTTGCCCTTAGTATGTGTTAAACTACAGCATACAGATTTAAGAAAGAACTAAGAGAAAAAAAAGTAAAAATGTATACACAAGATCTTTGAGAAGCACAACAGAAACAATGAGCAGTTTGATTAAAAAAGGAAGAAAGCCAGGAGTGCCAAGAAGATAGGCAAAATGGGGATGTCATGGCGTTCTAAGGGTGGACATGGGGACCTTATGCAAAGTTTGAATGGTGAATCAGTAGTCACGAGACACAGAACAAACCCTGATCTTGTGCATCTTTCCTAGAGCTAGTAGAGATTAGACTATGTATCTATCATAGAGCTGTGCTCTAGGACGCAAATAAATAAAAAAATAAGAACCCCAACAATTAAGTGACTTAGTAATCACCCTGGTCATCCCAGCTGAGTTCACAGTTTTCTGACCTGAGCTGATACTGCAAGGAAGCCTTGTTTTTGTTTCATGCAGGAGTTGCAGAGTTGATGGGCTGTGAGATGCTGGGACTTGAGGCTGATGACGTATCTCTATCCACTCACTAGATTTCAAGCAGAAAGAATGGAGCTGACAGAGCAGAAGACTCTGGGTGCTGTAATTCATTGCAGCATTTAAACTGAGTGGCAGGGTCTCTGATGATGCAGCAGAGGCGATTGCTAGGAATGCAGCTCTAGCAGCTGCAGTGCAGAGAGGAGAAGCCTGGTCAGAAGAACAGGCTGTGCAAATCTGGTTACTATGTAAAACACCGAGAGATTATAAGCATTGCCATTCATATAATATAGCTTAGTTGCCAAGGATGCAGTGGCAAAGCCCAAACCCCTGTGACTGTCCACCGTACTCTAGGCATCTACGCCCAGCATTTCTGCGAAGGTTTCTTAGAATTAAGAACTCTAAAAGTGTTCTTGCTGCAAGGTTTTTCCAAGAAAACCTTTTTGTTCTGCTCTGAGCAAGCAAAAAGTAACAAAATCCAGCTTCCCAGGCTAAAGGTGAGGGGACTGGCCACAGAGCCCTTCCCACAAAGAAATGAGTGGAGCCCGCTCACATTGAGGGAAAGATTCATGGCAATCTTTGGAGGCTTTTGAAGAAAGTGCTGTTCTCCTGTCCACAGAACAACTGCAGATTGTTCACAGAGACTGTCTTGTCTTATGAACAGGGAGTATTGTAAAAATAAGTCATTTAAAGTGTAGAGTGAATTTAGTACAGAAGCAGAAATTGGAGCGAGTAGGGACAGATAGAAAAGCAAGGAACAAAATGCCCACTCAGCACATGGGAACAAGGAAGAAGGTCCACTGAAACGAGGGATCTCTCTCAAGATGAGGCACTCCCAGCGACAACAGCTTCCAGCACCCATTGGCCTTTTTCTCACTCCCCAGTGAATGCCTCAGCCTAGAACCTAGCAAGGTCTGGGGCATGTGAGCCTCACCCTCATCTCTCTCTCACTGCAGCAAGTCTCCTCAGCCCCAGATGTGGGGGATGTAGCCAGTCACTGACCAGGCTCTTCAGAGGCGTGTAGGAAAGGCAGTTCTTGATCCAGTGCTTTCAATCTCAGGACTCCTTCCTCCAAGTCGATGCAACACTACAAAAGGGGAGAGCCAGTTACTTGCTGGACATTTCAGATAGCACATCTCATGATGGCTGTCACTAGGGAAAACTTGTATAACCATCAAACAACCCCCTTTGGGTTTGTAGACACCTTACAGTTCCCCTCCCTGTCCCCCATGCTGCTTCCTTGCTCCTATTTCCTTCAATGCATTCCTCTCCAAATCCTTCACAGGGCCATCCCCTCTCTTCTTCCCATGACTCTCTGAGGTGATGTCCTTACATCACTCAGCCATTCAGCCCAATGCTTTTCCTGCCTTACGAACCTGATGTAGGGCCACAGATATTTAACAGGCAGGAGCAAGCTTGCCACAGCCATGTTCTGAGCCACCCAGGAGTCAGGCTCAGCAGAGCACTAACCTTGAGCCAAGCTGACAAAAGGAGAGGACACTTTCCACTCTTGTCCAGCTAGTGCTTCAAAAGGCAACAGAGACATAACTTGTGACACAGTGTGCTGTGCCTTGTCTTTTCTTGTCTCCTCTTCAGTTTCCTCTTCCTGTTTGCAATTTGAATGTTCAGGAATACAGAGAATGGGAGATGTGATAGTATCCTATTGAGTGATTCCTTTCTTAAAACCTTTAAGAAGGACTGAAAAGGGATCGGTGACTCAGAGCATACTGCAGCCAGCCAGGCAGCTGTGCAACAAGCATTGCAAGTGACACCGTGAAGACCAGGACATAAGTATTTCTGATGCTTACAGCAACCAAATCTTGGAGAACTTCTTAAGAGGAGCCCTGCAAAAAGCAGGAAGCTATTCCTTACCTTGAGAGACAACAGAGTCTGGAGACCAATGCAAAACTCCAGCATTTCATCATCTGAGGAGAGAGAAGAGACTGATCAGGCTTAAGACTATATATACTACCCCTCTAAAGAAAGTCTCTCTCCTGTAAGAGAATGTGGAATATAAGAGGATCTGGTTCATCAGGTTATACAGTTATGGTCTATTCAGTATAAAGTAAATAACAAATGACAAGGAAAGTGATGAATTAAACACACAAACATTAACAAGCAGGTGGTAACAGTTACAGTAACAAAGCCCAGCACTCTTCTGCCACTGACTGATGAGCCATTAAAAGAGCTGCTTAGACTCAGCCCTAAAGAGGGTCAATATGAATTCTGTAGCTGATAAGAGAAGGGAACCATCGTTATCATGAGTATTATGAGATATTTGAGGGAGTTAGTGGGATAGTTTGAAACTTACTATGAGATATCAGAAGGGGCTTGTGTGATCATGTAAAACTTACTATGGGCTGTGTAGGGGAAGGGCCAAAGGCAGGAGAAGGCAAGCAGCAGGGTGGATCAGGGAAGAACAAGCATGGAAAAATGGAGAAGAGAGGGGATAAGGGGGGCAGTCACATGCAAGTAGGTGGTTGGTCAGTTCACTTGTCTGACCTAATCCTGTGCCTGATGGCCACAATCTATCTGATCTTCTTAAATAATTTTATTGAGTAATTTTTTTTCTGTGTAGCCTCTCTGTCCTACATGTGACTGCTGCAAGTCTTAAGTGCCAGCAAGTGTACAAGATGCCACGGGTTAAAGGGCAAATAGCTCTAGATGTCAGCAACTAGAGGTACTGGCATGCAAGATAAGTGCCAGTACCTGAAGAGACCACAGGCCATAGGGCTCACAGGTCTGTGTCAGCAGCTGGAGATGGGGATGTAGCTCACAGGTGCCAGCAACTAGAGAGACCAGTGTGCAGGAGAAGTCTGGGTGCCAGTGACTGGGGAAGGGAGCACAGGCTATAGGGCTTATATACCTGGGTGTCAACAGCTGGGGGTATTGCAGTGTGTGCTGCAAGGTCTAAGCTCCAGTAACTGGAGAAGGACTATGGGTCACAGAGCTTGTAGGTCTAGGTACCAGCAACTGGAGAGATCAGCATGCAAGAGAGCCAGTGAGTAGGAGGAAATCTGCATCTGGAAAGACTCAAGGTCTGGGTCATTGGCAAGGTAAGGGGCCCAGGGTCCAGACATGGATGTAAGACAGACCTAGAAGCTGTGGTGTTATCTGAAAACTCTGTGAATATGAGTGTGCTTGTTGATCTAGAGACTGAGGATGTGTGAGTTTCTGCTAGTGAATGTCAATCCTGGTCAGCCAGAGAGGAGGACCAGGACTGGGCTATCTGTGCTGGTGTTTATGTGAATACTGGTAAGGGCACTGCTCTATGTGTGGTTATTTCTGTGGTTGGTCTGGTCTGCATCTTCTATGTGCCTGTCTGGAATATATGTTCAGCCTTGCTACCATCCAAATCTGGCACTAAGAACATGGACTGGGCAAGAGCAACCTCGTGGGTCTTAGCCATCCATGTGGACTTCAGAGGCAGGGAAGGTCCTGGCATCTGCAGGATTCAGCAGCCACCAGTAACAACATTAACACTTCCCATGTGTCCTGGATCCCTGCTTGCCCTGTAACCAGTGGCTGTATTTTATAATTTACTTATAACCACATAAGCAAGAGCACTGTGTGCACAGGGATATGTAAGGCACAGTTGTAGCAATTCTGCTTCTTCCAGGCAGCCATTTCCACATCCCAGCAAAATGGATAGGTGCTACTGGGCTAAATTCTTCTGTGTGGGTACTGATACAGACTCCCTATGAAGGGCAAGAACAAGTAGAGGGGAAACCAGGGAGGTGTGAGCTGGTGCTTGGAAGAGGAGGAAGCTCTTTTTAGATGACTAGGAAAGTGGGAAGAATGGACATGAAAAGGGGGAGCAAGGGAGCCCTTGGAAGATGAATAATACTCATCAAAGATGAGGAGACAGATAAAGGCAAGACAGTAAAGCTGGAAGACTAATAGGGAGAAAGAACAGCAGACAAAAGATGACTAAGTTGTTTTCAGCATATGCACAGCTTGATGTAAAAGCAGGACATGCAGCCTTTCTGCTGTTTTCTGAGCGTGCTCCAGTGCCTGCTGACTTGACCTTGTCTCCCATGGCTCCTTCCTTCAGAGAGTCCTGTTTCAGGACACTGAGGGAGACTCGGTGCTCTGAGTCTACCGGGTTCTTCCAGGGTGCTCCCTGCAGCAGAGGCAGATGAGTACACAGAGGAACACTCTGGGGAATAAGCTGTGCTCTCTATCAGTTTCTCTGGTGGCTTCCATCCAGGCAAAAACACAAGTGCCCATTCAATAGGAGAACATAGAGCACCAGAGGACTAATCAAGCAGTCTGAATAATTTTGAGAAAGGTCTGTTTTAGAGGGAAATGAGAATTATTCACATCCTGTATTAAGACCACAAAGCACCTAATTTCTGCCCGGTTTCAATGTCTTCTGTCTTCTCTGTACTCTTCCTATGCCCTTTACCTTTGGTATTCACTGTGCACAACGATCTTGGCCAGCAGTGAAGGTGACTGCATTACCAACCTCTGACTGAGCTACGCTTTTCCCAGAGATCCTTTTAAATGCCCTTGGCAGGGCAAGAGGGACACAGGAAAACTGAAGGAGAGGAGGGTCTGGCACTCTCACCTACAACCAGTGCTGAACACAGCACTGTCTCCTGGCCAAATTGCAACTCCATATGTTCTACTCGGCCAACAACGCTCGGGATAGGAAGAGAGAGGTCTCCACAGTCCATGGCAGACACTTCTTCCAGCCTGTGGGACACAAGAGCTGTTATTGCCTCAAGTGGAGGAAGAGGAGGAAAAACAGGACTTCTCACTGATGGCAGTACTTCTTGGTCTCATTGGGAACAGACCCACGAGAGAAGGAATCTCTTCTATACAACATATCTGGAGGCAGATTCCACAAGGAAAACCATAAGGTGTTGTCCATTTGGGTTCCTCACCACTGAGGATAAACATCAGCTGGGCAGCTTTGCCCTGTAGTACACACACAGACAGAATGACACAGCTCTGCCTCCTACTTTGGGGTCAATCTCAACACAACTTTGCCAGTGCTCCTGGTGCCTTGCCCTGCAGCCCACCCTCTGCATCTTCTCCTGAACAGCCATGTGCACATGCAAAGCTGCTAGTAATTGTAACTGGGGCTGAGAACCAAGGGTGCCTAGGTTCTTGCCATAGGTTTTCTTTTAGCCAGCCCTCCTTTTCTACTGTGCATGGACTTACCCCAACTGGTTCAAACAGCTCTTAGAGATGAGGTTTGGTAGACACCCAGTGTTAACAGTCGCTTTCAATATCTGACCTTGGCACTAGAAAAAACAACAACAGAGAATTACTGTGGGCTCAAAATTGGCATACCCACTCTTCCAACAGTGTGACAATCCCCTAGACCTTCCTTAGCAACACAGCCAGAAACATAATGTTTTAGGCAGTAGTCAGAAGGCAGGAGACTCATCCAAGACAATGGTGGTCTCCCCAGTGCTCTGCAAAACTCTGCCAAAAGCTTCTTTTTGAATTTGTCTTCTTTAACTTGTATTTGATTGCCCAGACACTTATCTGTTTTTATTGACTTTAACTTAGCAGTATTCCAGTCAAGAGACATATAATTAGTGAATTTGTTCAGAAAACCCTCATGGACTTTATTAGTGGAGCAAGAATTGATATGACAAAAGCCTCTAAAGGAATAAAATCATGTGCTACAGCCTTTGTAGGTTTCCCCTCTCCATTTCTTCTGGTGTCACAGGGGACAATGTTCCAGGACTAGATGTCTGTTCTCAGTTGAACATCTTCCAGAGGAAGAAGTCTGTGGGAGATGCAGGAGCACCCAGGACAGGCTTCCCTGAGAAAAGCTTGAATTCAAGGCGGTTTCCAAGAGAACAGACACATCTAAGTGACTCCTGAATCCAAGAAACAACCTAATCAAGAGGTGTCTACTTTGTGTAGGCGTTACATAAAGTTGCTAGACAGCTCTTTAGGGGATTTGACAGGAACACTACATCTACAATATTCACAGCTGGTGTCATCTAGCAAAGGGAGTGACTGGATGCCCTGCACCCAAGTCACCTTTGCATGATCTTACTGGAATAATCCCCTAGTGCCTTGTCCACTTCATCTCTTCACCCCTTTGCACTTGAAAGGGGACAGGAGATGTGGTTGCCATCTGTTTTCTATCCCCTCCACACAGAGGTCCTTAATGGCAGGCCACAGGTGCTGAAGTAACAGCAGGTCTCATATATGGCAGAGGCCTGAAAAAATAGGTCGTCAAGGACAGCAATACGAGTTATGTTTAGGGAAAAAAAATGTGGAACAGGACTTAGTAAAGGAACTGGAAAAGATTGAGTAACTGCCATCTACAAAACATGGCTTGCACCTACCTATAGTGCCTAACCAGACCCATTATTGACAGCCTAGTTCTTCAGGGCTCTGTTGTGTACCAATGGCCCCTCAAAAAAAAACCACCACAAAGTTTCTGTCTTGGAAGGCTCATTTTCCTCCTGCTATCATTTGTATTTTTCCTGTGATTCCTCCTCTTCCATCCACTATGGCACTCAATGCCATGAACCACTCAGAAGCAGCAACAGACCTCCCACAGCTCCTCTACCGTTATGCTTATTCTTGACAAGCTTAAATGCTTTGAACACCTTAAGCAGATCAGCATGACCAGCAGGGACTAAGTGCAGCAGTAGGGTCAAGGAAAATGTCTCAATTTCCTGATTCCTTAACTAAATCTGTTTATGAATATTACATGGGTTAGTCATCACAGAGAGCTACATCCAAGATTTCATTGTCAAAAATGTGCTATTTATGAGTTATTGTAAATAGAAAGGATAAAACACCTTCTGTGAGAAATACTGGAATGCTGCATACAGACACAACACCAACAGTAGCTTGAGTGCTAATTGCACTCAGGGCAACCTCAGAGAGAACATGCTGGAAACTTCAAGTTTGTTTTGTCTTGGAGCTCTTCTTCTGGTCTAAACTGGATCTGCAGTACATCAGTGTAGAGAATTCCATCATCCTGAACATTTAGATATGTCATGTTCCTAGAATGGCCACTTAGTTGAGAAATTTTCAAGAACTAGAGCTAGAGATCTCAACCCATAATATATAGCTTTACAGAGTTCACCAAGAATCATGTAAGACTCATATCTGTATATATGATGTATATTTAAAGAAGATCAGTGGGTTTAGAAGAAGGAGGATTCATCATGTGTGGCCTCATCTAGAAAAAAGGAGACCAATGCTCAAATAATACCTACACAGAAAATATGCACAGATGCATATTTTCAACAGCTCTTGATTGGATTACTACACTTTTTCTTCTTTAATGTAAAAAGCATGTCTTATTCATAAAGAATTACGTGCATTTAGTTAACAGTCCCATGTGACTGCAAGCACTTATGACTTCTTACAACACCCAAGTGAGCCATATAATGCTAAATACTGTAGGAAAGCCAAATCCAAGACAGATCTTAGAAAATTCTGGCTGCCAGCACTGTGCCTTATTATTGTTGTTGTTATTATAATTATAATTATAATTGTTGTTGTTGTTGTTGTTGTTGTTGTTGTTGTTGTTGTTGTTATTATTATTATTATTATTATTATTATTATTATTATTTAATGTGCTTCTCACAGTCTCAGCCATACTGGCATCTACATTTAATTCAAGGCTGCTCTTTGGCACATGGTATGGAAATTGTCACAAAACTACAAAATCACAGATTGGGAGAACACGAAACAACTGACCTGGTACCAGCTGTAAGGCTCATGAAACAGTCAGATCAGAGAGAAACCAGCCCCTCTCCACAGATCTTTGCACATTCATACAGGAATATCCCCCCAGCTCCTTCACAAACGACAGTCTCATTTCACTGCAGAGCAGCTTGAACTGCCGTCCCATGGTGATACAGAGCACACATGACAGAGCTGAGACCCAGCTGAGCTGCTGCCTGTTCCCAGAATGTGCACCCATTCCCTCATCCTTCATTCACATATGTCTCCTGCCTTTAGGCACAGATCTGCTTTAAGCAGGCAGGGGAGTAAGCTAGAGCCTCACAGAAGGGGAATGGCTGCAAAGCACTTTATTTTAAAGCTCCTGATCTTGGCAATATTTCTGTTTGTTCAAGAAAGAACATTGGTGTCATGGCTCCAGGTATGTCAGGTTTAAACATTGAGAACTAGGAGTAGTAGTAGTCTACATTCAGACTAGTAGTAGTCTATCACATATTCTGTGATAGAGATCTCCCGGGCCAACTGAAGAGGTCCCACCTTACCTCATGAAACAGCCATTTGTGGCCAAAGCTGGTGTTACAAAACGCAGGCTTCTAGAGAGAAAACAGCCTGGAAATTGACTGGAGCCAGGGGGCAGTCCCTTATCCCTGCACCTGGCAAGGAGGTTGGACTGGATAATCTTTAAGGTCCCTTCCAACCCAAACCATTCTGCGATTCTATGACAAAATGCCTCCTCTTCTGCTTTTAGAGCTCTGCAATATCTGTGCTGTCTGGTCCTCGCTGACACATCAGCCCAGTCTTGAAGGATTGTGGCCAGACTAAGCAGAGAGGCAAGATAAAGCACAAAGTGTTGATACATGCTCAGTATCTGCCTTGGTCCAGCATACCACAAATGCAATGCAGATTAGGTAAGGAATACACAGGCAGCTGATGAGCTCTGAAAGCCTTCTTGGACTAAGACGACTTTTTGTCACTCTCATCTCTGCCCCAGAATTTTCATTTCTCTTACTACCAACCACTTTAAGTCTTTATCTAAAGGTCAGTTATGGGGATTTCCAAGAAAGAGAAAGAGGGAATCATTAAGGATCACCATTTATAATGAGCTTTGTTTTCTGAAATAATGTCAGTTCTAAAGTCAAGAAGCTGCTTTAACCAACCAAGGTTGATTAACCCCCGGTTGCTTCGGCACAGAGAAGCAGCAGCCTTGGACAGCAGTGGAATCTTTCAGCATTCATTTCCAAGTCAAGGAAAGACAAGCCCCACCACAAAAAATAACAACTTGATTTTATGATGCAGATGCCAGTCACGACAAGTTTTGCAAAGTGCTTTGCAAAAGCTGCCACAAAATGGGGCAATTCTGCTCAAGTATCATGTGAGCAACCCACCTAAGTACATAGGAAAGTGAGTGACTCTGCAACCCAACTATTATAGACTGGGTCTGTGTGTGATCTCTGTGCCTTCGGCACAGGGTAACTACAACCTGTTAAAGTGAAAACATTTATTGCCTGAATCTCCCTGTAGCAGTGAAGTCTGCATACAGCCAGCTTTATTTCCTAGCCAAGTTCAGTTGCTAGCCAGGTGATTCGTCTGTTGCCACTTCGAAATTTTCAGCACACCAGCCTGGGTGTAAATGGAAGATTCATGCTGGTGGATGATCTTTTCTCGGGAGCTGCTGTCAGAGGGAAGAGACTTCACTGGCGTCGTGTTCTACTTCTGATAAAAACTACGCCATAGTCTAGCAGTTCTCCAACAGGTTCCAGCTCACCTCTCTGATTAAAATCAGCTGGCAGCCTACATGCTTATATTTCCTGCTATAGATCTGTTACTGACAGGTGAGGCTTTTTGAAGTTCACAAATGTGAACATGAAAAACTGCAATACTAAAAAGAAGGGGAGAACAGCTTCCCTTCCTTCAATGTAAGAAGATTAAGTGTGGCAAACAGCGACTGGCTCTTAAGAAAGGCAGAAAAAGAGAGAAATGCCTGTGCAGAAGGTGCTGAGTTCAGAGAGAGTTAAGTGCAGCGTTAGACCTATTTCCCTGACTGTGATGTTCATATCACTTTCCTCCATGAAGAAAAATACAATGTGTGTGACAGCTGGGACACGGTCCATTAGAACCACAAAAGGGGAACAGTAATGAACTCTGAGCTACTGCCCCTGGGGTATGATACCTATGCATGCCTGCCCTTGTTTGCTGTACATGCCTGGCAGAAAACCACCCTTTATCATCGGGTTTCCTCTTACAGCACAATATAGAGTGGTGATTAGAGAAAAAGAAACACCTTCATTTGCTAAAAAAAAAAAAAAGACTCCAGCTATTTGGAGAAATTACACTTAAAGCCATTCATGCTACTAGTCTGTTTTCCCAAGTATGGTTATGTAAACCTAGCTACATCAGAGTCTAAAATCCAGGGTAAGCAATGCCTAGCTGCAGCAGTAAATGCTGGAAAACAAACCAGAGAGTGGCTGTGTGTGGTGCTGAGATGCTTGATCTGAACATTTCAGAAACTTGCTACCAGGCTATGGTCATATGGTAATTATTTGTGGTGACTGAATTTTCAAAAGTATACGTGTTTTTTCAGGAAGTGTAGACTTTACAGACTAACATGTGAGACGTTCTTTAAGACAGGTAACTGAAATAAGCACGGCTTTAAAATGTATTTTGTCTACCAGGTCTTTATCTTGGTGAATCTCATATCTGTGTCTTACTGAACAGGTCTAACAATGCAGCCCTCTTTCATGGAGCACAGCTTTTGGATGTGCTTTCTTACCTACAGGGGCCATGGAGGAGGGTGTTCTGCTCAGCAGGAGGATATAAGCAGAAGAGGGAGCTAAAAATACTGCTTCCATCAAAAAATGCAAGAGCACAGAGCACAGTTAGATACTTCCTTAGGAGGTCCTTTGACACCTGAGAGAATCTGACCAGACTGGATCCAAAAGCTTAAATCGGCTAGGAACACCTGTCTTAAAGTGCTAAGGAGACATTCTTTGCTTCTGTATACAGTTAGAAAATGCCTCATATCATTGGAAAGTTGGCCTCCAAAGGAAAGAGATGTGATTAAAGTATTTGATCTTCAAATATAGACAACTGGAATGCATATGGCAGAAAGGCTTTCCTCTGTTAGAAGGACTAGTTCCAAACTCTAGGAGAGGCCATGCAGGAAAGCTGCTCTCTCTGGCTGCAGCTGGCTTTGTAATTAATAACTTAGCACAGTCCTTCAGAGTTGGACAGCTGCAGCTCACTGAGCATTTGCCATCACTGTGAAATCAGCAGCACGGTGTTGTTGCCTTACCTGGCACTGTATTAGCAGGGCTGAAGTCTCTTTTCTCCTGTCCTCTCCCTTTTCCATCTTTTCATCCTGGGCTTTTGCCAGCGGAGATTGAACCCGTGCAGACTGAACCCTGGTCTCGCCCCGCAGCTTGTTCAGATTGCCTTCCACGAGGCGCCGCTGGACCACGCTATGTGGCTGCTGTCCCCATCACAAAGAAAGAGAAATCCCAGCTAAGTGTGGAGCTGAGGACAAGGACATTTGCTAGCCCAAGACACCAAATTGCAAATGCTCGACCCAACTGATCATCCTGATGAAAGACTGGCTTATCCCAAAATACTTTCTTTAAATCCAAGATTTTTTCTGTAGCCACTAAGGTGATGTTAAAGTGCTGGGACACCTGTTACAGGCAGGTCTCTGGGATGCAATTATTGGAGGAGAAGAACATGCCCGATGCATGCTTTCCCAACACTTATCTGTTCCTTCAGTTAAACATGCACTTGGCAGTCACCTACCTGTTCAGGTCCTGCAATACACTACCTGATTGGTGTGTGCTGACATCCAACCAGGCACACTCACGCCTTCTAATGTGGGAGGGGATGGGGGATGCAGCACGTGTGTGATGTATGTGTAGGTAAGAAGGCAGGACTCCAGGAATTCTAGGTGTACAAGCAATTATTTGTAGTCAACTGGGAAGCTTCCTCTGCATGGGAAACTAAAACTAACTTCTAATGTTCTTTGGAGTCTGTCTTTGCTCCCCACTATCAGATGTGATACTATTTTGTCTCCCTTCTTAGCTAGGAAAGCATCTATGAAGCCCTATGTTGTTCACAGCTAGAAGGGAGCACCATCAGCCAAATCAACAGCTGAAGGGACTTTGTTCCTATCATCTCACGTATCTCATTCATATCTCATGTATCTCATATTCCTCGCTTATTTCTATCTACTTTCTTCTGGGTAGAAGAAAGGGAGGTGCACCAAAAGGGAAGAAAAATTGTGAAAAACTTTGTGTCCCAACATTGCATACACACACAAGGAAGTGTTGCTTTGGAAAAAAAGCACCCTTTGTCATCAACTTGATGCTCTTGTTTTTGCCCAAGTGCCTCCTCTCCCTGCACAGCTACTGAACCAACAGTGGGCAGCATCAGCACCAGGCCTGTTGGAGGTAGCTTTGTCCTTTCTCCATGTACCCGAGTGGACCCCATGGCCCTTCTCCAGGAGAGCTGCTGCTCAGAGCTGACAGTAGCATTCTCAGTAACAACTGCCTGTGTGAAGAAAGGCAATTAATCTAAAGGGGCTAATGTGCTACAGCATAAACCGTTGCTTTTATCTTTCTCAAAAAATATTTGAAAAAAGCAGCTTCCAGATGGTGCAACAGTTGGACATAGGATCTTATCAATGTGCAGGCCAAACCTGCCAATGAGCTGAGCTGTATTAACCCTACAGGGTGCATGTGCTTCAGACTAGCTTTATGCTTGGTCAGAGGGCTGAGGCCAGGGAATTGTGTAAATCACAACTCGAAACACACCAACTTGTCAGTTTTGCCCAATGGAGAGTTGTTACTGTCTTTTTGGGTGCACTCAGCATTGCTCTTTGCAAGGTGCCGAGTCCCTTGTGCCTCTGCTTCCCTGTCACTCAAGGGGCGAGAGTCAGAAAGATGTGAGAGACACCGCAGTAGCTGAAAAAGTGAGGTAAAAATATCTTTCTTCTCCTGGCCTTTCCCAACCTATTCTGCAGGCTCACAGCACAGCTGGCCACTGTACTTCAGCCCCTAAATACTCTGAGCACAGTGCCAGTTTGGCTGCCAGCTAACATCTGGGCCATGGGAAAAGGGCAGGGAACCGACAGCAGGTCTCCAAATTCCCATCCTCCCTCTTGTCTCCTTGCACAATCTGGCATGCAAAAGGCCTTTCCCTTCCCTCCCCGCAACCTTTCCCACAGAAAGAGCAGGCCCTTTGCGGCTGCCACCTCTGTTCCCTTCTTGTCACTCAGGCTGGAAGGAGGCCAAGTGCTGATGGGGAGTGGCTGAGCTTTGGGACTGTGGAGGCATCTGATTCAAGTGCAGACTTCTGGGGTCCTCCCTGTCTTCTGTCCCATTATTGAGATGGAGAAGTGGAGATCACTGTCTCTCTTGGGCAGGTAAAGAGCAATGAGATGAAGAAGATGGTCAGGGAGGACCTGGAGGGAGCTGTGGCCAGCAGCTGGAAGGGAGGCCCCCTCAGGGCTCTTAGAGGGGTCAGACCAGGTTCCCAATGCAACTCATCATGTTCAGGCTCTCCAGTGTGAAATTTCATGGCCTCGCTATGATTAATGAAGTGGCATGAGCTGGGGATCTTGATTTTTGGGAGGGGAGAAGCCAGACCTTCAGACCTTCTTGGTACTTTCAGAATATTTCAGCTCATGCTGCTACTTTTTTATCATTAGAAAAAAATAGAAATGTCATGTTTGTAGTTGTTATTAAGATGGAAATGTGAGGTCTCCACAGATATGTACTCGTTGGAGATGTGATGGGCCCGTCAAATCCTAGACACTGCTGGATGCATTGCATAAGCAATGTACACACAGAACACACAGAAGAAACTAGCAAAAAAGTAACAGCCTGATTTTCATTGTATAAGAAAACATGTAGGTTTTTTTAATGACATGGGGCCTTGCTCTAATTTTAGGATATGTGGGACTGTTACAGCTGGAGCCTCTGGCACTGTCAATGGAGGCATGTTCTGGGGAATTATTTAAACTCTTCTCCCAGTGTAAGTGCTATAAGACTCTGGGGTGTTTTGCACTGTCTCCAAGATCAACCTCTCCAGCACTTCTTGCTGCTGCTTTGTTTTCAGCCCTGCATTCCTGTCCTCCAGTAGGGAGCCAGATCGATTTAGGAAACATCGATGAAGTTTTGCACGGGGCTGGAGGAGTGCCTGAAAGGATATTTTGAACTCTCAATCTGCAGCCCCCAAAACATCACAGCAATATCACAGTGGCCCATCAAGTTGCAGGGACTGCTGAATTGCACTTGGAAATCTAAGGCCTGGTTCTTCTCTTGCTCCAAGATAAACCAGAAATGGAGGTACCGCAGCTATCTCATTGACTTCAAGTATAGGACTAAGCGTGCAAACTTTGCACAGGTGCCACAATTTATTTTGTGCCTTCTAAAACCAGTGGAAAATTTCCACGGCAGGAAAGATGTTACGCTTTATTCACTGCTCCCTAGCTCCATGGTAAAAGTGTTTCAGCCATTCTGTTATGGACCAAACATGAACTGTGCCGTGGTTTTCAGTGACTGAATGCAGTCTGCCTGCAAGGAAGTCTGCCTAGGATCGTTAATTTGACCAGAAGAGCTGCAAGCGATTTGGACAAGGCATGTCTCGCTAGAGCAAGCATCTGGGGCTTCAGAGTGCCAGTCTCTGGAGCGCAAGACTGCTGCCCGTACCACGCAGGGCTTTCACAGAGACCTCTAACTGGCACCGCAGTTGTCATTTTGGGGCATGGTGTGACAGGAGTCAATTCCAAAGCAAATTTCTCTCTGCCCTTGTGGCTGGGCTCAGCAGACAGGCACTAAAAGACTCAGAAGTGGCTCCTCCCTGTTCCCTGCCTAAAGCGTTACAGGGAAGAGCTCAGGGGTATGTCTGGCTATCCCTCCTGAGGAGAAGGTTGAGCTGCAGTGCTGCAGGGCATGAAGGGCCAGTGCCAGCCCACCTGTGCTGCCAGCCTGAACGGGGCTCTCCAGGCTCTGGTGTGGCCTCCTTCCCCATGGGAAGGAGAGGCCCTGTCCCTCCTAACAGGACAATTATGTGATTCCTCTCTTGTACATCAGATAGCAACTGTGTTCAGGGTCAGAGGGACACTCCCAAACCAGGCCCTGCTGACAGCAGTGTGTGCAGCTGCAAGGACCTGGCGGATCATGAGGCAACAGCTCAGGGTGACTTTGAGGAGCCACCCTTGACCCTGCTGGGCTGGGGACCCTCAGCAGCTGCCAAGGCAGCAGTGGGGGGTGGTAGGAACAGGACAGGAGCATGGCACTGGTCCCTCATCTGCGTGTGGGGCCTGCCGTGGGAGCTGGAGGAGATACACATGCATGAGCATCTGAGGATACAGAGGGGAGCACAGGCTGCAGGGAAAGGCAAGGCCTTTTAGGGGACCCACTGGGGCAGCTGGAATAAGTGGTCATGGCCCTCATCACTGGACAGACCCAGGCCCTCTTTTGGGAAAGTGGCTTAGACCTCCACATCCTTGAGCAGTTAAACCCCACAGCGGGGAGGAAAAGTTAGACAGCAAAACTGTCAGCACAAGGAGGAGATGTGTGCAGTGAAGCCAGCAAGAGATCTCATGGGAAAGTGCTTCCAGCCCTGGGGAAATCCCTCCAGACCACAGACTGCCCAGGCTCATGGAACAGATCCCCTCCCTAATGCTTCCTGCTCCACAGAGAGCTGCCTACAGGCCTCACTCCCATGCCTCCACCCCAAAGGTGTTATCCATGGGTGCTGGCCACTGTGGCTGCCTGCATGCCTCGCTAGCAGTTCTGCCCTGTGTTTGCCCCTCTGGAAATCCAAAGAGTGGGGGTAAAGAGAATAATCCAAAAAGGTGACAAGGTCAAACATGAACCTCTTGGAGTTTCATGAACTGTGCTTCTCTCCCTGCTGAGTCTGGGAAGAAGTCTGCTTTTGAGCTGGATCATGCAGGAATACATGGGGGCTTTCAGAGACATCCCACACGGAAATATACATGTCAGATGAACATACTTATATATCAGGTGAGTGGAAGGTTTGATCCTGAGGAGTCCCTCCAGTCCATGTCTACCCACCTCTGTGAGGAATTTGGTCCCTAGGGGGATGCATGGGAAGATGGATGCAATAAATGGGCAATTCATTCTTGCCCCTCACCCTGACCTGCTCCTAGATGATGTTGAAGGAAAGTTTCATCTTTGCTGAACCCATGACCCCTTCACAAAGCCTGGCAGCAGTTCCCAACTGGGATGAAAGCTATTAGGAGGACTCCCCTCCCAAATGGGGTCCCACTGGACTCACCAGATCCTTGGAGGTGCCAAGCCTTGTCATGCCATCCAGGGGCAGCAGGTCAGCAGAGTCCTTGTGCACAAATTGGGTGGCCTGTTTGAGGCGTCTCTTCTGCTGCAGAATAGCTTTGTTCCTCAGCTCCACCTCACACTCCTGTCGCTCCAGGTCAGGAGTACCCTCACTCTGCTTTTCCTCTTGGTCTCCTTGCCCCACTGGCAAAGGGCAGCTCTTCCTTGTGCTCATGGTGAAGATTCAGACTGAACAGGTCCTTCTTGGTATGCTGGGGTGCTCCCTGTGCTTGTCTCCTGGTGTTTGCCCTCCTGAGGCTGACTCAGTCTGAGCTCCTTTCCGTTTCCCTTCTTCACAGCTCTCCCTCTCTCCCTTTCTCTACCTTTCTCTCTGTCCTCCTAGTTATAACTCACTCATCTCTGAAGTGTCTCCATCTCTTTTTCTCCCCCTGTCCTCTCCACTTCCCCGGTGTCCCTCTGCTCCCCACCTCTTCCTCTCCCTCTCTTCTCCTGCCCTGGCTGCAGCTCTGCCTCCTCCAGACGGTGGGTCCCTGTCATACCAGAAAAAACCCCACGTCAGAGATGAATTTCCATAAATTAGAGCAGAGCCGGCAAGATGCTCCAGCTGGAAAAATCCAGCAGCTGAAGGATGGCCCCGCTGTTGGGGGCTGGACTTACCTCCCTCTGGCTGTGCGTGCGCAGTGTGTACACTGCCTGTCCCCCCCGGTATGCCGAAGTGACAGTAAATCTCTCAGTGGTAGGCTGTGCCGCTCAGTGTCCCTGCTCGGAGGGCTCTGATGCATCTCAGTGAATCTGTAAATACTGGCAACGACATGGTTCAGCCGAGGAGATGATGCAGTGCCGTGGTAACTGGGCGGGAGCATCCATCTCAAGGCTCCCAGCAGGCATGCCCAGTCTCATTTCTGCAGCCAGTGTCGTGCTTTTGGAATAGGCTGCACTGAAGGATTTTACTGTGCAGCTTCAACGAAAATACTGAAGGCCTGGTTTGTGCTTCTGGCCAGGGCAAATGTATCGGTCCTGACTCTGTCCTCATTTTCGCCCCTCTCCATCTAGCACCAAAGTTGCAGAAGCTGAAAATCCCTGGCTTGTCAATACCTGTGGACTTGACTCCCTGTTTACACTGAGATATGCTGACATAGCTGCAGTGTGGGATGTCTGGACTGGGGCAGACATACCTCCTCTCAAGGGAGAGAGGATATGGCAGAGCCTGCTTTTTCAGCTTTCTGTCTCCACATCATCCTGCTTGAAACAGCGGGTTTCAACTTGAACTGAAGATGCTTTATTTTGATCCCTTTTCACTGGTGAATGCACTGCCCCATTAAGCACCAGTCCTGGCATCCTGTATAGAGGAAGGAAGTGAGTTTTATTCAGCTTCAAAGTTAAGGACAACGTTACCTTTCTGTGAAAGTCAGCTGGGGGTGAAGCAGCTTTCTTGTTCAATGCAGAAAGAGTAGCAGCAACAGACTATGAAAGTTACAGCAAAAGGAAGCTTTCTGTTTAGCCCTTTCTTTTTTTTCCAGCTTAGTAGTAGTATGTGACATTCTGACATGCCTGATACCAATTATTTCTATGTTCTAGGTTGTATGTAAAAGTGTAACATTGAGTTTGCAACGTTAGGAAGTAAATCCAATGGTCCATGTGCAAAGATGAGTCCAGTCAGCCACTTTGAGACCTCATTGTTGTTGCAGAGACTACAAAGAAGTTGTCTTCAGTACAAAGCAAATTATATGTTGTTTACCTTTCACTCCCTGCTAGTCATCACAGGATTAGCATTTCTCTTGGGATCTCTGGTCCTCAAGTGTTAGAAGGCAGACTGGTCATTTTTTAGAGTCATTCTAAAATTTGAAGAGGTTAACATTTTTGTTCCCAGTATGCTAACTGCTTTACGCAAGGTATCATGGTTCCCACAGCATCAACTTGCAGAACCAGATTTGGCAGGAGTGGGAGAAGAAATATATTCTAACTGCTTTACACTGCAAGGCCAAACTCCAACATTATAGTGCAGGCAGAGTCCCACCAAAAGCTCAGCAGAGCTGTTTTCAGCTGTCCTTGACTCTCTGCAAGCTGAACTAAGGCAAGAGTTTAAATAATGGCTATTCCCACGGAAGCTATGTTCCCACGGTCTTGTTTTCTTGCCTCTAGGTTGTCATAATTCCTGATTTACACACACTTTTGACCTCTTGTGGCCTCACTGAACATCCTCTGGGTTTTGTTATCAAGTCCTTTAACCATCCCCATAAACCACTACTGAATCATGCACCTCTACTCTCACCCAGGGCCTTGTTTCTCTTTATATCCTGGGATGTGTTGGTTCCCAGATCTGGCAAAAAAACCTTAGCATTTTGATGGAGGGGAAGTGAGCTAAGATATTATCTTCTTCCTTCAAAGGCATGCTAGGTTCTAGGTCACTGTTTTTTTTTTCTATTCAGCTATTACTTTTTCCATCCTGTTCTTCTTAAACAGAGCCCAGTTACTAAGTAGGTTGGGTGCTTTCTGGTTTTCTTTTTTTTTAAATTGGACACTCTTAAAGGTTCTCTAATGGAGAGCCAGACCACAGTGCAGCAAATTTAAGTCTATTCCGAGTAGCTGTTCCTTTCCCAGTCATCTTTTGTAGGCCCTGGAAAACAGTGCATGACTCACCAACAGCCTGTGTTAGAAGAATAAAACAGATTTAGATAAAAACATTCATGCACAATCCCATACACACTGAGAAATTATTTTCCTTCTTTGATCCAGTAATGCACATACAATAATCATAACCTGTTATACCTTGCTGCTCTTCACCCTTCATACAGAAATTCTCACAGGGTGTGTAGCAGTGCTATTCAGACCACTGAAGAGCTTCTCCACCTCCACAGAGGATAAAAGCCCGTCTCCCTGTTCCTGCAAGCAGCTTGGCCTCCTACCTCAAGCATTTACAGGTCAGGGAGAACTCTGGGGCAGAAGGTCCCAGCTTCTAACCACGAAGCCCCAGTACTCTGTCTGTGCTCATGACTGTTGGTCCCTTATTTTGTCCTCTTGTAGAGGTGTATTGTAGGTAAAAAGCCTTAAATTTCCTTTGGGTCAAGCTGAGCTGTTACAGAGTTCAACAATAACCTCCACATAAGGTAGCCAGCCCAGAGGTTGTTTCTACATTACACCAGTTTCCAAGGTTCAATTTGGTAGAGCAAGCTTCAAGCGGCTGTAAAAGTGCCCTTGTGTGCAGCAAATACGTCAAGGCCAGGAGATTTCTTGCGGTGGCCCAAGTGCAGAATCACTATGAGCGACTTTCTGCTCCTCCTCTTGCATTCTCACAGCCTGTGCAAGGTCTGTGGATGCACAGATGGTGAAGAGGAGGGTTGAGAGGACAAACCTTACTCAGGCAAACTGTGCATATTATTCTCTCCCTTTCCATCTCTGAAAAACATACCTTGAAAAAAAAAATCTTCCTCTGCTTTGGAATCCCTCCAGTTTGTCTATTTAGATAATAAAATATATTCCTATTCTTCAAATAAGAAGCAGGCTACAGTACTTATATCTGCGAATATGTCTGGCAAGTTTCCTTGGGATAAATGTCATCTTGGATGTACATAACATTTTAGCTCAGCTGCTGGACAGCAAAGCCCTGCCAGTAAGGTCAGGCAGAAAGTAGAACAGTTTGCTCAATTAGGTAATTTAGGGTCAAGTCTCTGTTGTCAACTGCCATAAGGGCTAGATTTATAAAAAACTGTGGCAAACTTGGAACAATGTTGTCCAATATGAATTATCTCTGCTGTATAAATATTGCTTCTAATGATTTGTAACCTGTATTGATTTCACTGCTTGAGCTAATTTGCATACAAAATGATCTTTTCTGCTTGGTTAGGATGGTCAGCATTGCCACAGAACAGTTGCTCACCATGCAGCAGACAACACAAAATCCCCCCTTCCATTACATGGCTGCATTAATTACACTAAATGACTTTGGCTTTGTTTTCACAAGGGGAAAGAACACCCACTTTTATTACAGACTGCTAATGCACATAGCAATGGCAACTGTCTTACTCATGCTAGAGCTTCTCTGTGGTCATAAAGATCTTTAAAGTTGAGAATAATTTCTGGTAGGAATATGCTTATCAATGAAAGTACTCAAGAGTCTGAGATGAAGGATAGTTGTGTATTTAAGGCCAGTAGCACAATACTTAGAAATATGCAGTCTCAGAGATGTCTCCTGTGTGTGCCTCTAGGTATTTGCTTTCATTTCACTGCCCCTCCATTTCCTATCCATACGGAGTAGAGTATTTCCATTATCCACGTAGCTTGAGGCTAAGAATGCACTTGTCCCTAACGCAGACATTTTTTTAAAGACTCTGTATCCTGTCATCATCATAATAATAATGAAAATTTTACACCATTAAGGCTCCCTTCAGAGGATGTCCTTAAAGCTGAATACTAGAACAGTAAAACCCGATGCTGTTACAGTTGCCTCAGAAAGCTTAATTTGGTATGCATATGTGTGGGTTTATTACTAAAAGCACTTATAGAGTCTTGGCAAGGTGCTTTGAGTGGCTGTCTATGAGCTTCTGTCAAAACCTTTTATTTTTTCTTATAAAAAACAACAGAAGCAAAGAAATAAGACAACCACCCATACACTTTTACTCCCATGCCTACCTATCTGTAGAATCAGAGCAGATCTCATCTTGCTCAAAATGAAGCCCACATGTAGTTCTCAGAATGTGAAGAGTCTCCCCATTCTCCATCCCTGCCTCCAACCTCCTTTCCTCTGGGGACAGGTTTTACTTTTAAAGTCCTCCAACAGATGCTGTGGAAAACTTTCCTGACAGTGCTTGTCAGGTGTATGTTTCCTGTCATGTTTGATTGTAGATGGCTTGCTTTGTATCTAAAGCAGCTGAGATCAGTCAAATTGTTCACCAGTCAGCAGTATAACTTGATGAAATTAACTACAATCACTATAACCAGGTATACTTTTCAATATACACAGTATATTTGTGCCTGTAGGATGTTCCTTGTTGCTGCAAGGTGATGTCTGGCTGGAGCAGTTCTGCTGCTAACTCAGACGCTCACACTCAGTTCTAGGAGGCAGCCACTCGGTTGCAGCCCACCTATGCCACCCTGTTCAAGCAGACCTTTATTTAGAAATGCAGCAATTTAAGCTTCAGTGCTCGCTAGCTAAATCTCTAAGATGTGCTCCTGTTTTGGATGGCTCTTCAGGAGCACCACCTCAGTCCTGCTTAG